CTGTCCCAAGTCTAGAAGAACACCAACTTCTGCACAGCAACTCGAGGAATGCTCCTTGTACCCCTAATCGTCTTGACATGAGAGCTGATTCCCTGGTTTAGGCTCAAAACTTATGCCAACTTTCCAGAGACACCGAGAGAGGAGGTTTCTCTTAGCAACAGGTATGTGGGAGGAACCCCGAGTTTGCTGCCTCAAATTGAATATACAGCGAGAAGCCCTAACTTGAAAGGAGGCCGGATTTCCTTTCAGTGGCGTGAATACAGGCTCGTCTATCATCTCACAACATGAAGGGATGTCTGGTACCCTGTAGAGACGTTAGAGAAAGATCTAGGTCCCTGCCTCATTTTGACGGAATGCCTCAGATCCCTTTGACACATCGAGAGGAACCCGGAGATCACTACTTCAAAGGGTGATGATGCAAGACTCCTCTTGAACATTGTTAGGAATCCCAAAATACATGTAACTATTGGAAAGGGACCTTGGGTGCCCTGCCTCACTTCGAGAAGCGTCCCTTTTTGCCCTGCCAAGCCTCAAAGAGATTTCTGAGGTGTCCCTCGTTACTAAACAGGAGTCGTGACATCACTATATAAACACGTGTTTTGAAGGGCCATCCCCGCTGAAACTCGAGAACATTCCCCAGGTCGCCGCCGAAAATCGAGAAAAACCATGTGACTTCCCCCTAGAGGCGAGATGAGGCCCGATTCCCCTGCATTGCATGCAGAGCCATTCTGTGATCTCCATCAAACATGTAAGGAGCTTCGACTTGGTTTTTGGATCTCAAGACAGTCCCCAAGAACACTGTCACAAGTCTAGACGGGCCCTGAGGTTACGCCAGCAATGCAAAGCAGCTCCATGTGCCCCAAATCAACTCGAGATGAGGTCAAATTCCCCTTCATTGACTCCAGAGCCAACCCCCGTTACACATTAAATACGGCCAGTGGCTCGACTTCCTTCACACAATTCCAGATATTCCCCAAGGACACTGTCCCAGCTCTAGAAGAACACGAACTTCAGCACAGCAACTCAAGGAATGTTCCGTGTACCCCTAATCGTCTCGAGATGAGAGCTGATTCCCCGGCTTAGACTCAAAACTTATGCCAACTTTCCAGAGACAGCGAGAGAGGAGGCTTCCTCAGCAATAGGTATGTGGGAGGGACCCCGAGTTTGCTGCCTCAAGTGGAATATACAGCGAGAAGCCCTAACTTGAAAGGAGGCCGGATTTCCTTGCAGTGGCTTGAATACAGGCTCGTCTTTCATCCCAAACATGAAGGGATGTCTGAATCCCCTGTCGAGACCTTAGCAGAGCTCTAGGTCCCTGCCTCATTGACGGAATGCCTCACATCCATATGGCAGCTCGAGAGGCAGGCGGAGTTCACTGCCTCAAAATGTCACGATGCCTGACTCCTCTTGAAAAATGTTATGAATCTCAAATCCCTGTGGCTCCTGAAAAGGGTCCTTGGGTGCCCTGCCTCACCTCGAGAAGCGTCCCTTTTGCCCTGCCAAGCCTCAAAATATTCCTGAGGTGTCCCTCATTACTAGACAGGAGTCCTGTTGTCACTGAATAAACACGTGTTTTGAAGGGCCATCCCCGCTGTACCTCGAGAACATACCCCAGGTCGCCGCGGAAAATCGAGAAAAACCATGTGACTTCCCCCTAGAGGCGAGATGAGGCCCAATTCCCCTGCATTGCATCAGAGCCATTCCATGATCTCTATCAAACCTGTAAGGAGCTTCGACTTAGTTAATGGATCTCAAGACAGTCCCCAAGAACACTGTCACAAGTCTAGACGGACCCTGAGGTCACCCCAGCAATGCAAAGCAGCTCCACGTGCCCCAAATCAACTCGAGAAGAGGATTGATTCACCTGCAATGATTCCAGAGCCATTCCCCATTCCCCATTAAACACGACCATTGGCTCGACTTCCTTCAGGCAACTCCAGAGATTCCCCGAGAACACTGTCCCAAGTCTAGAAGAACACCAACTTCAGCACAGCAACTCGAGGAATGCTCCGTGTACCCCAAATTGTCTCGAGATGAGAGCTGATTCCCTGGCTTAGACTCAACACTTATGCCAACATTCCAGAAACACCGAAAGAGGAGGCTTCCTCAGCAATAGGTATGTGGGAGGGACCCCGAGTTTGCTGCCTCAAGTGGAATATACAGCGAGAAGCCCTAACTTGAAAGGAGGCCAGATTTCCTTGCAGTGGCTTGAATACAGGCTCATCTTTCATCTCACAACATGAAGGGATGTCTGAATCCCCTGTCGAGACCTTAAAGAAAGCTCTAGGTCCCTGCCTCATTGTGACGGAATGCCTCACATTCATTTGGCACCTCGAGAGGCAGGCAGAGTTCACTGCTTGAAAATGTCACGATGCCTGACTCCTCTTGAACAATGTTAGGAATCCCCAAATCCCTGTGGCTCCTGGAAAGTGTCCTTGGTTACCCTGCCTCACCTCGAGAAGCGTCCCTTTTGTAATGCCAAGCCTTGAAGAGATTCCTGAGGTGTCCCTCGTTACTAGACAGGAGTCCTGACGTCACTGAATAAACACATGTTTTCAAGGGCCATCCCTGCCGTAACTCAAGAACATACACCAGGTCCCCGCCGCAAGTCGAGAAAAACCAGGAGACATCCCCCTAGATGCGAGATGAGGCCCGATTCCCCTGCATTGCATGCAGAACAATTCCGTGACCATCATCAAACATGTAAGGAGCTTTCACTAGATGAATGGATCTCGAGACAGTCCCCAAGAACACTGTCACAAGTCTAGACGGACACTGACGTCACCCCAGCAAAGCAAAGCAGTTTCATGTGCAACAAATCAACTCGAGATGAGGCCCGATTCCCCTGCATTGCTTCCAGAGCCATCCCCCTTTCCCCATTAAACAGGACTAGTGGTTTGACTTCCTTCAGGCAACTCCAGAGATTGCCTGAGAACACTGTCGCAAGTCTAGAAGAACACCAACTTCAGCACAGCAACTCGAGGAATGCTCCATGTACCCCTAATTGTCTCGAGATGAGAGCTGATTCCCTGGCTTAGGCCCAAGACGTATGCCAACTTTCCAGAAACACCGAAAGAGGAGGCTTCTTTCAACAATAGTTATGTGGGAGGGACCCCGAGTTTGCTGCCTCAAATGGAATATACAGTGAGAAGCCCTAACTTGAAAGGAGGCCGGATTTCCTTGCAGTGGTGTGAATACAGGCTCGTCTTTCATGTCACAACATGAAGGGATGTCTGAATCCCCTGTCGAGACGTTAGAGAAAGATCTAGGTCCCTGCCTCATTTTGACGGAATGCCTCACATCCCTTTGACACATCGAGAGGCACTCGGAGATCACTACTTCAAAGGGTGACGATGCATGACTCCTCTTGAACATTGTTAGGAATCCCCAAATCCCTGTGACTACTGGAAAGGGTCCTTGGGTGCCCTGCCTTACCTCGAGAAGCGTTCGTTTTACCCTGCCAAGACTCAAAGAGATTCCTGACGTGTCCCTCGTTACTGGACAGGAGACGTGACATCACTATATAAACACGTGTTTTGAAGGGCCATCCCCGCCTTAACTCGAGAAGATACCCCAGGTCGCCACCGAAAATCGAGCAAAACCATGTGACTTCCCCCTAGAAGTTGGATGAGGCCCGATTCCGCTGCATTTCATGCAGAGCGATTCTGTGATCTCCATCAAACATGTAAGGAGCTTCGACTTGGTTAATGGATCTCAAGACAGTCCCCAAGAACACTGTCACAAGTCTAGACGGTCACTGAGGTCACCCCAGCAACGCAAAGCAGCTCTATGTGCCCCAAATCAACTCGAGATGAGGCCAGATTCCCCTGCATTGACTCCAGAGCCTTCCCCCATCCCCATTAAATAAGACCAGTGGCTCGACTTCCTTCACACAATTCCAGAGATTCCCCAAGGACACTGTCCCAAGTCTAGAAGAACACCAACTTCAGCACAGCAACTCGAGGAATGGTCCGTGTACCCCAGATCGTCTAGAGATGAGAGCAGATTCCCTAGCTTAGACTCAACACTTATGCCATCTTTCCAGACAAACCGAAAGAGTAGGCTTCCTCAGCAATAGGTATGTGGGAGGGACACCGAGTTTGCTGCCGCAAGTGGAATATACAGCGAGAAGCCCTAACTTGAAAGGAGGCCGGATTTCCTTGCAGTGGCGTGAATGCAGGCCTGTCTTTCATCTCACAACATGAAGAGATGTCTGAATCCCCTCTCGAGACCTTAGAGAAAGATCTAGGTCCCTGCCTCATTTTGACGGAATGCCTCTCATAAATTTGGCACCTCGAGAGGCAGGCGGAGTTCACTGCTTCAAAAGGTGACGATGCCTGACTCCTCTTGAACAATGTTAGGAATCCCAGAATCCCTGTGGCTCCTGGAAAGGGTCCTTGGGTGGCCTGCCTCTCCTCGATAAGCGTCTCTTTTGCAATGCCAAGCCTCGAAGAGATTCCTGAGGTGTCCCCCGTTACTAGACAGATGTCCTGACGTCACTGAATAAACACATGTTTTAAAGGGGCATCCCTGCCGAAACTCGAGAATATACACCAGGTCCCCGCCTCAACTCGAGAAAAACCAGGAGACTGCCCCCTAGATGCGAGATGAGGCCCGATTCCCCTGCATTGCATGCAGAACAATTCCGTGATCATCATCAAACATGTAAGGACCTTCGACTCGATTAATGGATCTTGAGATAGTCACCAAGAACACTGTCACAAGTCTAGACGGACCCTGAGGTCACCCCAGCAAAGAAAAGCAGCTGCATGTGCAGCAAATCAACTCTAGATGAGGCCCGATTCCCCTGAATTGATTCAAGAGCCATCCCCCTTTCCCCATTAAACACGACCAGTGGTTTGACTTCCTTCAGGCAACTCCAGAGATTCCCTGAGAACACTGTCCCAAGTCTAGAAGAACACCAACTTCTGCACAGCAACTCGAGGAATGCTCCTTGTACCCCTAATCGTCTTGACATGAGAGCAGATTCCCTGGCTTAGGCTCAAGACGTATGCCAACTTTCCAGAAACACCGAAAGAGGAGGCTTCTCTCAGCAATAGGTATGTGGGAGGAACCCCGAGTTTGCTGCCTCAAATTGAATATACAGCGAGAAGCCCTAACTTGAAAGGAGGCCGGATTTCCTTGCAGTGGCGTGAATACAGGCTCGTCTATCATCTCACAACATGAAGGGATGTCTGACACCCTGTCGAGACGTTAGAGAAAGATCTAGGTCCCTGCCTCATTTTGACGGAATGCCTCAGATCCCTTTGACACATCGAGAGGAACCCGGAGATCACTACTTCAAAGGGTGATGATGCAAGACTCCTCTTGAACATTGTTAGGAATCCCAAAATACATGTAACTATTGGAAAGGGACCTTGGGTGCCCTGCCTCACTTCGAGAAGCGTCCTTTTTGCCCTGCCAAGCCTCAAAGAGATTTCTGAGGTGTCCCTCGTTACTAGACAGGAGTCGTGACATCACTATATAAACACGTGTTTTGAAGGGCCATCCCCGCTGAAACTCGAGAACATTCCCCAGGTCGCCGCCGAAAATCGAGAAAAACCATGTGACTTCCCCCTAGAGGCGAGATGAGGCCCGATTCCCCTGCATTGCATGCAGAGCCATTCTGTGATCTCCATCAAACATGTAAGGAGCTTCGACTTGGTTTTTGGATCTCAAGACAGTCCCCAAGAACACTGTCACAAGTCTAGACGGGCCCTGAGGTCACGCCAGCAATGCAAAGCAGCTCCATGTGCCCCAAATCAACTCGAGATGAGGTCAGATTCCCCTTCATTGACTCCAGAGCCAACCCCCGTTACACATTAAATACGGCCAGTGGCTCGACTTCCTTCACACAATTCCAGATATTCCCCAAGGACACTGTCCCAGCTCTAGAAGAACACGAACTTCAGCACAGCAACTCGAGGAATGTTCCGTGTACCCCTAATCGTCTCGAGATGAGAGCTGATTCCCCGGCTTAGACTCAAAACTTATGCCAACTTTCCAGAGGCAGCGAGAGAGGAGGCTTCCTCAGCAATAGGTATGTGGGAGGGACCCCGAGTTTGCTGCCTCAAGTGGAATATACAGCGAGAAGCCCTAACTTGAAAGGAGGCCGGATTTCCTTGCAGTGGCTTGAATACAGGCTCGTCTTTCATCTCAAACATGAAGGGATGTCTGAATCCCCTGTCGAGACCTTAGCAGAGCTCTAGGTCCCTGCCTCATTGACGGAATGCCTCACATCCATATGGCAGCTCGAGAGGCAGGCGGAGTTCACTGCCTCAAAATGTCACGATGCCTGACTCCTCTTGAAAAATGTTATGAATCTCAAATCCCTGTGGCTCCTGAAAAGGGTCCTTGGGTGCACTGCCTCACCTCGAGAAGCGTCCCTTTTGCCCTGCCAAGCCTCAAAATATTCCTGAGGTGTCCCTCATTACTAGACAGGAGTCCTGTTGTCACTGAATAAACACGTGTTTTGAAGGGCCATCCCCGCTGTACCTCGAGAACATACCCCAGGTCGCCGCGGAAAATCGAGAAAAACCATGTGACTTCCCCCTAGAGGCGAGATGAGGCCCAATTCCCCTGCATTGCATCAGAGCCATTCCATGATCTCCATCAAACCTGTAAGGAGCTTCGACTTAGTTAATGGATCTCAAGACAGTCCCCAAGAACACTGTCACAAGTCTAGACGGACCCTGAGGTCACCCCAGCAATGCAAAGCAGCTCCACGTGCCCCAAATCAACTCGAGAAGAGGATTGATTCACCTGCAATGATTCCAGAGCCATTCCCCATTCCCCATTAAACACGACCATTGGCTCGACTTCCTTCAGGCAACTCCAGAGATTCCCCGAGAACACTGTCCCAAGTCTAGAAGAACACCAACTTCAGCACAGCAACTCGAGGAATGCTCCGTGTACCCCAAATTGTCTCGAGATGAGAGCTGATTCCCTGGCTTAGACTCAACACTTATGCCAACATTCCAGAAACACCGAAAGAGGAGGCTTCCTCAGCAATAGGTATGTGGGAGGGACCCCGAGTTTGCTGCCTCAAGTGGAATATACAGCGAGAAGCCCTAACTTGAAAGGAGGCCAGATTTCCTTGCAGTGGCTTGAATACAGGCTCATCTTTCATCTCACAACATGAAGGGATGTCTGAATCCCCTGTCGAGACCTTAAAGAAAGCTCTAGGTCCCTGCCTCATTGTGACGGAATGCCTCACATTCATTTGGCACCTCGAGAGGCAGGCAGAGTTCACTGCTTGAAAATGTCACGATGCCTGACTCCTCTTGAACAATGTTAGGAATCCCCAAATCCCTGTGGCTCCTGGAAAGTGTCCTTGGTTACCCTGCCTCACCTCGAGAAGCGTCCCTTTGGTAATGCCAAGCCTTGAAGAGATTCCTGAGGTGTCCCTCGTTACTAGACAGGAGTCCTGACGTCACTGAATAAACACATGTTTTCAAGGGCCATCCCTGCCGTAACTCAAGAACATACACCAGGTCCCCGCCGCAAGTCGAGAAAAACCAGGAGACATCCCCCTAGATGCGAGATGAGGCCCGATTCCCCTGCATTGCATGCAGAACAATTCCGTGACCATCATCAAACATGTAAGGAGCTTTCACTAGATGAATGGATCTCGAGACAGTCCCCAAGAACACTGTCACAAGTCTAGACGGACACTGACGTCACCCCAGCAAAGCAAAGCAGTTTCATGTGCAACAAATCAACTCGAGATGAGGCCCGATTCCCCTGCATTGCTTCCAGAGCCATCCCCCTTTCCCTATTAAACAGGACTAGTGGTTTGACTTCCTTCAGGCTACTCCAGAGATTGCCTGAAAACACTGTCGCAAGTCTAGAAGAACACCAACTTCAGCACAGCAACTCAAGGAATGCTCCATGTACCCCTAATTGTCTCGAGATGAGAGCTGATTCCCTGGCTTAGGCCCAAGACGTATGCCAACTTTCCAGAAACACCGAAAGAGGAGGCTTCTTTCAACAATAGTTATGTGGGAGAGACCCCGAGTTTGCTGCCTCAAATTGAATATACAGCGAGAAGCCCTAACTTGAAAGGAGGCCGGATTTCCTTATAGTGGCGTGAATACAGGCTCGTCTATCATCTCAAAACATGAAGGGATGTCTGAATACCCTGTCGAGACGTTAGAGAAAGATCTAGGTCCCTGCCTCATTTTGACGGAATGCCTCACATCCCTTTGACATATCGAGAGGAACCCGGAGATCACTACTTCAAAGAGTGACGATGCAAGACTCCTCTTGAACATTGTTAGGAATCCCAGAATACATGTAACTATTGGAAAGGGACCTTGGGTGCCCTGTCTCACCTCGAGAAGCGTCCCTTTTTGCCCTGCCAAGCCTCAAAGAGATTCCTGAGGTGTCCCTCGTTACTAGACAGGAGTCCTGACGTCACTGAATAAACACGTGTTTTGAAGGGCCATCCCCACCGTAACTCAAGAACATACACCAGGTCCCAGCCGCAAGTCGAGAAAAACCAGGAGACATCCCCCTAGATGCGAGATGAGGCCCGATTCCCCTGCATTGCATGCAGAACAATTCCGTGACCATCATCAAACATGTAAGGAGCTTTCACTAGATGAATGGATCTCGAGACAGTCACCAAGAACACTGTCACAAGTCTAGACGGACACTGACATCACCCCAGCAAAACAAAGCAGTTTCATGTGCAACAAATCAACTCGAGATGAGGCCCGATTCCCCTGCATTGCTTCCAGAGGCATCCCCCTTTCCCCATTAAACAGGACTAGTGGTTTGACTTCCTTCAGGCAACTCCAGAGATTGCCTGAGAACACTGTCGCAAGTCTAGAAGAACACCAACTTCAGCACAGCAACTCGAGGAATGCTCCATGTACCCCTAATTGTCTCGAGATGAGAGCTGATTCCCTGGCTTAGGCCCAAGACGTATGCCAACTTTCCAAAAACACCGAAAGAGGAGGCTTCTTTCAACAATAGTTATGTGGGAGGGACCCCGAGTTTGCTGCCTCAAATGGAATATACAGTGAGAAGCCCTAACTTGAAAGGAGGCCGGATTTCCTTGCAGTGGTGTGAATACAGGCTCGTCTTTCATGTCACAACATGAAGGGATGTCTGAATCCCCTGTCGAGACGTTAGAGAAAGATCTAGGTCCCTGCCTCATTTTGACGGAATGCCTCACATCCCTTTGACACATCGAGAGGCACTCGGAGATCACTACTTCAAAGGGTGACGATGCATGACTCCTCTTGAACATTGTTAGGAATCCCCAAATCCCTGTGACTACTGGAAAGAGTCCTTGGGTGCCCTGCCTTACCTCGAGAAGCGTTCGTTTTACCCTGCCAAGACTCAAAGAGATTCCTGACGTGTCCCTCGTTACTGGACAGGAGACGTGACATCACTATATAAACACGTGTTTTGAAGGGCCATCCCCGCCTTAACTCGAGAAGATACCCCAGGTCGCCACCGAAGATCGAGCAAAACCATGTGACTTCCCCCTAGAAGTTGGATGAGGCCCGATTCCGCTGCATTTCATGCAGAGCGATTCTGTGATCTCCATCAAACATGTAAGGAGCTTCGACTTGGTTAATGGATCTCAAGACAGTCCCCAAGAACACTGTCACAAGTCTAGACGGTCACTGAGGTCACCCCAGCAACGCAAAGCAGCTCTATGTGCCCCAAATCAACTCGAGATGAGGCCAGATTCCCCTGCATTGACTCCAGAGCCTTCCCCCATCCCCATTAAATAAGACCAGTGGCTCGACTTCCTTCACACAATTCCAGAGATTCCCCAAGGACACTGTCCCAAGTCTAGAAGAACACCAACTTCAGCACAGCAACTCGAGGAATGGTCCGTGTACCCCAGATCGTCTCGAGATGAGAGCAGATTCCCTAGCTTAGACTCAACACTTATGCCATCTTTCCAGACAAACCGAAAGAGTAGGCTTCCTCAGCAATAGGTATGTGGGAGGGACACCGAGTTTGCTGCCGCAAGTGGAATATACAGCGAGAAGCCCTAACTTGAAAGGAGGCCGGATTTCCTTGCAGTGGCGTGAATGCA